CATATATATATATATATATATATATATATATATATATATTTATATTTATTTATTGACTAGTACTCCCTATGAATTTATAATAATTAAAATAATTTAATTTCATATATATTAACAAAGTTAGTTATATGTATTTAATTTTCATTATTTCATATATAATATAGACTATATTTCTTAAAATATTTTAATCACAATTATTTTAAATAGTTTAGCCAAAACAATTTAAAATTTTTATTTATATATAAATCATATTCACTTATTGATAGATAAAAAGAGTGTGTTTCTAGCAATTTTTTTTTTTTACATTTCAATAACTCTTATATATATTACTCCCTCTTGATCTACATATAAACAAAAATATACTTAAATTTTTTAGATTTAACTATAAAAAAAATTAACTAAGTAAATTTTATTTAATATTCTTAATTTAAAAATGCAGTCAAAACAATAAATAAAAATTGATAATATTTTAGTAAATATAATAATATATATATTTTATATAAAATTATAAAAATTAAATATATTTAACTATTTTTCTTAATCATTTTAATTATTTTTATTTATACATATGTTTCAAGAGGGAGTTTTAATTAATCATCTATCAATAATTGCATTCAATTACATTTAGTTGTTCTTTTCCACGTACTGTATCAATAATTACATTCAATATATAAAAAGTTAATTACGTACTGCATATTATTTTCGATGGATGGATGCGGAATGTACAAATATGGAATGTAATTTTTTTTTTTGTGAATATAAATATGAAATTGTGATTTTTCCCATGACGTGATTTAACATCTACGCTGCTCTTTAATTTACCTTTAATGCAACTAACTCCTTAATTTTCCACCATTTAACGCAAGAAAACTGGTGCAGTGACAGCAGTCATCAATCAACACTTGGGCAAAAAATCAATCTAAGATAACACGTCATTTTCTTGGTAAATATATTTTTTGTCTTTTGCTTAACCTTTTTAAGGATTGATTAAGATGTACCAAAAAAAACCCTCTAATGTAAAAACAGGAAGAAAAAGAAAAAGATTGATCAAGTATAGTGACCCCGATGCACCGATTCACATGTATCTATATCTATGTTACGTAATACTGTTTTGCTAGCTTAAATAATTAAAAAGTGAATATTTTTATCGTAAGGTGCATCGTTTAATAAATTTAATTAGACTGTATACTATCTATGTGAAATTATTCTACATTATTATATCATCACGAGTTATCATGTACAATAGGATTACTAATTTTGGTAATAATAATTATTTAGTTTAAATATTTATTTAATTCTTATAATTTTATAAAATTTATATTTTAATTATTATAATTACAAATGTTTTTATTATATATATATA